GGTCACTTGTATGTCTTCACTGGAGAATTGCTTATTTGGGTCTTCTGCACATTTTTGGATCAGGTCTTTTTATTATTATTAAGTTGTATGAGCTGTTTATATATTCTGGAAATTAAGCCTTGTCAGTTACATCTTTTGCAAATATCTTCTCCCATTCCATAGGTTGTCTTTTTGTTTTTGTTATGGTTTCCTTTGCTGTGCAAAAGCTTGTAAGTTTAATTAGGTCCCATTTGTTTATTTTTGCTTTTATTTCCATTGCTTGGATAGACTGCCCTAGGAGAACGTTGCTGAGGTGTATGTCAGATGTTTTGCTTATATTTTCTTCTAAGAGATTTATAGTGTCTTGTCCTATGTTTAAGTCTTCAAGCCATTCTGAGTTTATTTCTGTGTACAGTGTGAGGGAGCATTCTAACTTCATTTATTTCCATGCAGCTGTCCAGTTATCCCTACACCATTTGCTGAAGAGACTGCCTTTACTCCATTGTATGTTCTTGCCTCCTTTGTCAAAGATTAATTGACCAAAAGTCTGTGGGTTCATTTCTGGGCTCTCTATCCTCCACTGAGCCATATGTCTGTTTCTGTACCAACACCACTCTGTTTCAATGACTGCAGCTCTGTAGTATTGTCTCAAGTCTGGGAGGGTTATTCCTCCAGCTTCATTCTTTTTATTCAGTACACTACTTTGGCAATTCTGGGTCTTTTGTGAGTCCATATAAATTTTAGTATTATTTGTTCTAGTTCTGTGAAAAATCTTTCACTTATAATCTTGGACTAGCCATTTAACTTTACAAAAGTCTAATTTCCTTGTAGCCAAAACGGAAAACTAAAAGGCTTGTTTCAGCTCCAAGTCATCCCTGCACCCCTGTCACCTCCACTTACTACCTACTGCACCTTTTGTTCCTGCAGATCCCACCCTTTTCCTGACCAACGTGCCCCTCTTAATGCTCACACGTCCACCACAGGTTATCAACCAAATACGTGACACAGCAGCCTCCGGATTTCTTTACCACTATCAAGTACCTCCTCCTTGCTGAGAGCAGCAACCACAGCACTTGCCCAAACGCACAAACGCACTCATGAACAGACTCAAAGCCATGACTACAGAACCGTAAATGAGGCTGTCCTCCAGAGCCCAGATACTGGGTCCTAAGGGTCTACGTGCCGATGGCAGGAAAAGGGATCTCGCAGACAGCAGTGCATACATGTAACCACCTGTGAATCTCTGCTGCTCTGTAACTCAGCGAATATAATACATCTCACCTCATTTCATTTTCTTATGAGTGATACTTCTGCTTTAACAGAGAAGGAAAAATAACCCACACATCAGGAAATAGAGAAATGGAGTTAAGTCTTCTGAAAACACGCTTTCGAGATAGCCATGACTAAGACATCCGAAAAGTCTATACAAGTTACTTACAGAATATCTACTTTGTATACACCATCATGCTAGGCACTGATGGGAAACAAAAAATTGTCAAAAGCGTCACTTACTTATGCTGGCAGAGCACTTACCCTGAGCTACGATGGAGGAAGGAAAGCCTGCCCTCAAACAGGGTGCAGGAAAGGAAGGCACAGCCTCCAGGTCTGAGCTGGTCTCTCCATGTTCCCTGATCACTTTAGGATCACAAACACCTAGGCTAGATTCCAGTATGTTCCAACATGCCAGGATTTTCTTTTTAAAGCCAACAATGCAATAGCTCTATCTAGTCTTCGAAAACAGAACTGTCACGGACCTTGAATGGACACCTGTTCAGCTCCAGGTCTGGGAACGTAGAACCATTAACAGGACAGACAGGCTGAAAGCTTGTCTCTTGGTAGAAAGGGTGTTAATGTTGAAACAAGACAGTCTCGAGTCTGAATGCAGGTCTGCCACCCGTAGTTAGCACTTGGACAAGTGACCTAATGTCAGTGAACCTGAATTTCTTCAACTGGAAACCGGGGTAATGCCTACCTCACAGAGCTGTTGTGATAATTACATAGCGTATGTAAAATCTGTGTAACAAGCAATACAGACAAGTTTCATAAATAGTTTATACAAATCATCTAAGGTATGCAGACCATTCTTCACTGCTAGTCTCAATTTTACCTACGTACTAAAGATTATCTCTTAAATACAAATTCTTATTTGAACAATAAACAGTATATACTATTACACAAGTTTTTGCTGGAGTCATAGATGACATACTAGTCAATTTTCCCTTAACTCTGCTCTTTCTAGAAAGACAGTGGAATAATTAGCTCACCCTTTCTTCAATAAACAGAGCTGCCTCTCCCTGCTCTAAACGACACTCTGCCTCCAGCCTCGGGGGGCAGCCTCACATAAGCAGGGGGATGAGTACAGGAAGGCCCACAGAGATGAGTCTAAGAAAACGACCTCAATCCCATAAATGAAGAACTGAGCCTCTTCTCCAGAGTCCTTTTGGAGATACAAAAGGTTTGGTTTTAGGCAAATGCGTTCCCTCAGGTCAAAGGGATTTCAGAGTCTCTGTCACGGTTCAATCCCCGGATAAGACAGGGATTTCCCATGTGGCGAGCAGCACCGCCACGCTAATGCAACAGCTCAGCGTGGCCAGATTCAAGAGCCTCAGGTCAGCCGCTGACAATAAAGCGCACTGGCAAGGAAAGGGGAACCAGCAGGGACCAGCACTGTCCCCAGATCCTGTCACAGCAGCAAACAAGAAGGAGCTCCATGTGTGCAGAAAAAAGTTAAACGGAGCTCTACAAATCTGCAAGAGGAAACCCAGGGCAACAACATTCATAAGACTTTGTTACTTGTTTTAAAAATCACCTGTTTTGGCAACAGAAATAAAGATGTGCCCTAAGGTAACACTAAACCCAGACCAAGGCTCCAGCCCTGTACTTACTCTGTCGCAGCAACCATCCGCTCTTCACAAACGCCATCTTCCCACCTACAGAAGAAGACACAGGCAGGTCAAAATCACACCCAGAAAAGAGAATGGCTCGTATGAGCTATAACACAACCCCTCTGACACCAAATGTGTGGGGTTTTCCACACCAACAACCAATTTTCCAACCCTCAAAACACCAACTGGGTGTCTGTTGATTCAATGAGATTCAGACACTTACTACCTGGGGTTAGTTAGCATCAGACCCCACAGGGGAAGGGCTCAGTTCCACAGGAGGGCTCCCAGTTTAGACACAGGTCCAAGGACTCCTGTACTTCTGACCTATAAACCAGGAATTCCCACAATCCCCTCCTGAGATTTGATAATTTGCTAGAATGGTTCAGTCTCAGAAAAGCACTTCACTATTATCTGTTTATTGTAAAGGATACAACTCAGGACCAGTCATGTGGGAGAGGCAGAGGGGAAGAGCGCAGGGCTTCCATGCCCCCTCCAGGGAGCCACTCTCCCAGCATCTCCATGTGATCATTAACCCATAAGCTCCTGGACCCATCACTAAGGGGTTTCTAAGGAGGTTCCCTTTAAGGAGGCAGACATGACTGCTTACATCACAGGACAATGGTGAGTAAGGGCCATCTCCAGCCTCTCTGCGGACCCTGGAGGTCCAGGGATGGGGCTGAAAGTTCTAACCTTCTCATACAAGGCTGGTTCCTCTGGCCACCAGCCTCACCCTGAAGTTACTGAGGGGCCCACCAAGAGTCATCTTATTAGCAGAAACTCAGGTATGGCTGAAAGGGGTTTATTATGAATAACAAGACACTCCCAGTACTTCTCTCTCTCAGGAAATTCCAAGAGTCCTAGAAGATCATACATTTTTGTTTAATTGAAATATAGTCAGTTTACAATCTTGTGTCAATTTCTGGTGTACAGCCCAATGCTTCAGTCATACATGAATATACATATATTCATTTTCATGTTCTTTTACTATAAGCTACCACAAGATATCAAATATAGTTCCCTGTGCTATACAGTATAAACTTCTTTCTCTATTTTATATACAGTAGTTAGTATCTGCAAATCTCGAACTCGCAATTTATCCCTTCCCACCCACCCCTCTCCCCCCCCCCCCCCCCGGTAACCATAAGATCGTTTTCTAAAAAGATCATACATTTCTAATTATATCACAAAATCACAGCTCTGGTCTCACATTCTAGCCTTAACCCTTTCAACGTCAGCTGATCAAGGGACCAAAGCCGTTCTAGTTCACTGGCCACCTGGGATTTACTTAGGATCTCCTCACTGCGGGCAACACAACACCCCCTACACACACACATGCTCTGGGCTTTAGCCTCAGGACCCTGCCCCCTTGGGAATCTAAGTCCATTAACTTCCATCTAACAGACATAGAGCAGCCCCAGGAACACAAAGACTTAGCTCTGTCAAGGACGCGTGGCCTCTCCTAACGAGCCCAGTATCCTGGGGCTGGGGTCCGGCTGCCTCAGGCTCACCCCTGCTGTTCCCTTGTGACTTTACAGTCAGGGGTGCACTGGTGTCAGCAGGTGGAGTGTGGCCAGCTCACGGGAGAATGCCAGAAGTCACAGAGAAAAAGTCTGATAAATTTAACTCCATAAAAATAAAACTGAGTGACCAAAAAAGTCAAAAAGACCAATAAAAGATTAAGCAAAAAACATTTACAGCCATACATATGGCAGCAGTGAGCTAATTCCCTTCCTTTACAAAGCTCACTTATACCAGAAACAGCAATCATTTGGCAGTTCACAGAAAAAGAAACATATATGGGCAAAAAGTGCATAAGATACTCAATTTCTCTCTCAATTCAACTAACAAAATTCAAATCACAAGTAAACAATAACACTGTTATCAGAGGGGCACAAATGAAAAACACTGTGACACCCAGAAAGGAGGAGTGGTGGCCGGAAGAAAAACCTGCAGCCTTCTGGGAGGGGAACGTGCTCTGTCTGTCCACAGTTTAAACGTCACGGACCCTGCTCCAGCAGCCTCGCCACTACTAGAAACATGGCTCTAGGACATCCGTGCGGAGCTTCCCCAGCAGGTGCACGGTCACTGCAACACTGCTCCCTGCACAAGACTACCTGCCACCAAAGGGCCGCCCAGGAGAGGACGGCTTAACAGGCACCTCCATACCTCAGAGCTCGTGCAGTATGGACAAGGACGCAGACTGTGTGCACGGATGAGCAAAGAGCTGATACCCACACAACTGTTTTCTGGAGGGAATCTTAACGCTGCTAGCAATGTGCATCTCTGGGGAGGGAAGGAGGCGATACTGTGTACACATCAGGCAGGAGGGTGGCCAGTCAGTTCTGTGACATCTTTCTGTGGGACTGAAGTTTTGTAAAACAACTTGTACTTTTATTTTTCTGAAATCAACAGATATTATTTGGAGGCTGAGATTATGGGCCGCTTCTGTTTTCTACTCCAGCGTCCTCAGGTGCTCTCCTTAAAGGCACAAAGGTTTGGAAAGCTGGGAAAACGGAGCCCAAGCCCCAGTGGGCACCACAAAAGAACAAATGAGCTCCCCCTCCTTCAGTCTTCCCCACGTCGAAGCATGGTTCAAGTCTCACAAGCTTTAGTCATCTTATATTCCAGCATCTCCAAATCTTGTCATCTGAGGCTTCTTAATCTCCCTGCAGGTTTTGCCGATTCATGCTCACTGTCCCCACCAAGAAAGGACAGACCTTTCTCATCTTTCCCCGACCTTCTCCCACATATGCAGGTACTCAAACCTTCAGTCCCAGACGAATGAGAGGCAGTCTCTTCACCTTCTCCCAGCGGACGTGTGTGGCTCACCGCTGCTGGGAGACACCTGCCGGTGAGGGGATCACCCCGAGGGCAGCTGACTTTAGAGACAGCAGAGCTAACTGCTGAGCCACACCCGCCTACCCGGGGAAACACACCCTGATCCAAGGCTTTCTGTGAACAGAAAAACAGCAAAGTGATACGCTGCTGCATTATTTAAACTGGGTTGAACTGGTTTCCTGTAACTGGCAGCCTAAACATCCTAAAACAATCATTTGTTTCCAAAAGGATTTGAAGCAGAGAAATAACACCATCATATTTTCATTCAGCGAATATGCTTTGAACACCTACTGTGGGCTGAGCAGGCAGGAGGCACTAAGGACACAGCAGTGACCAAGCCCAAATCCCTGCTGCCATGCAGCTTATTACGCTCTGGTGGAAGGAACAGGTTAAACTTAGAAATCAGAAAGAAGCGGGGTGGGATGCGACAGCCGGCATCACGTCCCCACAGTGATATTACTGCCCCAGAACACAAAGCTGGAAGGGTGCGTAGCATATATTCCTTCACTCTGAATCCTGGATATTTGTATTAAAACCTCCTTAGAAACTCTCACTCTGTAAAACCATCATTACAAACTCTCAGTTCGTACTTCAGGTAAAAAAGAAAGCAGCTGGCAAAGGTCAAAAATCGCTGGCGGGCGGCGGGAGCCGCGCAGTCACAAGACGCCCGTGAGGCCTGACTGAGGCGTCGCCGAGCAGCTGCGCGGCTGCCTCCGGAGCCGGTGGCTGTGCAGCCGCGCCCGCCGCGAACGACTGCGGGGCGGCAGGAAGGGGTCTCCGGAACCTTGGTGGCACATGTTTTTAAATCTCTAACGATTCTTGGTGTTAATTTGGCTGTATCTGCTGACATTCTTAACAGTCAGAATGTCACCTCAGCATAACACTGAAACATAGAACAGCTTCATCTGGTCACGGGTCTTCTGGAACCTGACTCCAACGATTTCACCTGCCTAGGACCAAAACCACTAGCACCACGAAGATAACAAGACAGTTCCTTAATGACCTAGAGATATCCTGTCATCATCTGATCGTGTGGGTCACCAGTTGAATTACCAAACACTGTGCCCACGTTTTCTTTGGTGTTTCCTTGGGGTGAGGCTGGGTTTCTTTTCTTTTTCACATAGGTAGGGCTCAAGGGATGTCAACAAGAGAAAACTGAAAAGCTGACTTAGAAATCAATTCCAGGCCACTTGAGCCAAGATTTGAAAAGGAAAAAAAAAACTTCTACATCGAGAGGACATTATAAATGTATCTCTGGTGTGTCTATATAAAACAGTTCAAAGCTATTACAGAAAGGGAAAATTAGATTATTACAAGGCAGAAAGAAACTGAAACCATGCAATTACACAAGAAACTCATGACTTTCTGAAAAAGCGTAAGTGTTCCGAGTACTCAGGTGGCTTCTTATCTGGTGTCAATCCTGTCGACCTGTTAGTCCTTACATGGAACAATCTCTCCTGCCCAGATTTTATCTCTAATACCGGTCTCCTCTAAAAGGAGCCAGTACTCCTTGAAAATGAGCTAGTCACAACTAAGGGACACGATACCTCAAGATGTGCCTAAGATGTCTTACTGTCAAAAAACAAAGCAGCTTTCAGAAATGCCTTTAGAAAGGATAAAAAAGTCAACCGGCTGAAGACAGCACTTCTAATGGCCAAACTGTGACAACATGAGTGCCAAAGTGAAAATTACAGCTCATTAGAACCGACTGAGACTAAAAGACATCTTAAGTACAAAATGATTAAAAACAGACACACCATTATAGACTGTGCCGGTGAAAACACATACCTTCCAACGTGACTTCAATTTCATAAAAACTGGAGGCAGGGGGAGGATGGTTAAAAAAAAGTATAGACACTTTGATTTGTGTGATTCCTTCCCTCACTAGATAGTTCAAATGGTTACTGCATTAACAGTAAGAGATGTTTGTCGTGTTTACTGTCGAAGGTGTGAGGATCTGTTTTTTAAGACAAGAAGTCTGGACTTCTGAATGAAGGACTCAACTGCACAGAAACACAGGCAGCAGGGAAGACTGGAGGAACAGGCTTCACACCCGCGTAGAAGTTGGGCCCCGGGGAGAAATGCCTCCCGGAAGGAACCCTGGAGTCGCGCGCTCAGGGGTGCGCTGAGGTTGTTACTTGCACTTGCTAGGCAGGCACTTAGAGCTGGTCTTCAGAAAAGTCAGAAGAGGCCAAGAGGATGTTAGAGGAGCCTAATTCCTAAAGCACCTGTGGGACCTTCACTCCATCAAGCAGT